CACTGTCCATAATGGGAGAAACATAGATGAGAGAATAAATCTTTCTTCCAAGCACTCATGTTACCGTTCGCAATAATTGCCAAATATTACTGACGATGGAAAAATCATTTTTCTTAAAAGACAATTTTAGCTTGTAAAAAAGCCAGATTTCTGGAATTTGGCATTTAGACTTTTGTGAATTGAGAAAAGGGATGTGTGGGCAGCCCAAATTTAGAAATTTCTAAGACTTTTCAAGGTGCTTTTTGGCTATTGCTGTTTTCTAGTACTTTTCAAGCCCTGGAAAAGGCTCTGTCAATTTTCCAGGACTTTTAGAGGTTTCCAGGACCTGTACAAATCCTGTATAAACACCCCACCTTAAAGAGGAGAGGAGAACGTAATGTTTAATATGAAAGATTAAGTCTTGTGTTCTCATTAGTCCACAGAACGACTTCATTACATTTCAATTGTTATCTTCTGCCTGCTTAATTCTTGTTCTTTTATTGTTTGTGCTCCTTAATAGTGTTTTTTTTCTCCTATTCTCTGACACTCAGTACATCACTTGTATTATAGTGGCTTTATTGCCTTGCTTGGGGTGAAATGATAAAAAAAAAAAAAAATTGCTTGTTTTCAAAAGTTTTCATTATTTTGCATTGCAGAAAAATTAGAATTTAGGCCATAGTAACTAATGCCAGTTTTACAGTTATGTTCTTGAGATTGGCATGCCATCCTGGGTAAGATGAAAAACTACACCCAACAGCAAGGCCCTCTGATCAGGAGGTTTGGAGGAGCATGGAGCCATCTCTTAATTGCTGATGTTCCCAGGTACACCCTGATCCAGGTGGTAGCACCTGTTAGGGTCCTAGCTATGGGTAAATAGTTAGCCCACAAACTGGGATGAAAACACTATAAAAGTGAAAAAATGGGTTTTAATACCTGTTGTGACCAAGTAAATGGTTAAAAAAATAACAAAACAAGTATATTAAACAGTAAGTACAACCAAATAGTATTACACAACTAGTGAGTGTGTGTTGGATGACCCAGCGTTCAATCTATTTGACCGTTCCCACAAGGCCTTCTCTTCTACAAATTTTATAGTAGACAGAAGAGTCCAATATAAACTCTTTAGAGGGAGGACACCACAATACCAGAAATACATTTTTGTAAAAAATTATTTATTACATTTTTATTTTATTTACATTTTTGAACAAAAAAAAAAAAAGAAAAAAGAAATTACCAGCTATACAGTTCAGAAATATTATTACCAGAAATAAAAATTTTGTTGGCATTAAATAACCCATTGTGGTTGATATGCCATAAAACAAACCAAACCAATTGAGAAAGACATGAATCAAGTAATCCCTGTTGACCTGTCTTATAGCCAGCTACCATATATTTATAATTAGCATGCCACAATAATGGAAAAAAAAAAAAAAACATCATTTATTTGCTATAAATTTTTGGTTGAGAAAAGATAGAAGACTCAAAAATATACCGTTCATTTCAATTCAAAATGCAAACAGCTAAATTTATTTTTTTCTGTTCTGGCAGACAAACACAATCAACCTCTGTAGAATACTTATAGTTTCAATTAAGTAATAGTCTTTGTTCGTTTTGACTTTCTAGTCTTCTATATTTTCTTCTCTTCCAATTTCTGTTTGACTTTCTCAGCAATCGACTAACTGAACAACTAGCAAAATTCCTGAGTGAGCTTAAAGCTAAGTGACAAAGGTTCTCCAGGTAACAAAAAACCAAAAAAACAACCCAACTTGAGGGAAAAAAGCCTTGGCTTTTATAGAACTTCACTGGGTGATCATCTTCCAAGCAACATGGGTGACATTTCCATTAAAAGCTAGTCTCTAGCTCCATGGCTTATAATGTGGGGCAATTTGAGAATGAGTTATTAACAGCAAATTTTTTTCTAGTGAGTCTGAATTTGTGAGTTAATACATATGATACATAAAAATATTTGTGTGTCTATATGTACATGAGTAATTACGTATGTAATAAATATATATATATTTTTATTAGTAACACAATATTTTTTTACAAATATTGTAAAATTTTAAAATTAAGTGATAATACTATTGGATATATGTAGTCTCAAATTCTTAAGTTAAATTAATGGCCTTTTAGTCTTCCTCCAAATGAATAGAAGTTCACTTTTTGAATAATAAGAGTTATATGTCATGGCGGGCAGGGGTCATCAAGATTTTAGAGATGCTTAGGTGGGGTCTGGCCTTAAAAAAAAAAAAAAAAAAAAAAAAAAAAAAAAAAAAAGAAGAAAAGACAAAAAAAAAAAAAAAAAAAAAAAAAAAAAAAAAAAAAAGAAAAAGAAAAAAAATGGTTGGGAATCTGCCTAGCTGGTTGACTGAAGGTTGTGAGCTCAATCCCTGTACTGGGAAGTACTTTTTTTTTTTTTTTAAATTTTTCTCTTCAACTACAAGATTACAAAGTCAGAGATTAGAAACCCCAAATGGAACTTGACATTGTTTTTTGTATCAGTAAAAAAAACAAAATGTATTCTGGCTTGTCTCTGTAGTATAAACAAAAAAGCGTTATTAGTATCAAATATATTTCAGGTTATTTTTATGCAGCTGACTTGAGCAGTAACTGAATGTCAACTTGATTGTTTGAAATAGAAACTGAATGAAAGGATGGCATTTAAATTTGAGAAATTAAAAGGCAACTTTTTAATCTGTTTCCAATTTAAGAAAGAAGGCCAAGTATTGAGAAAAACAAAATAGACAATTCAACAGAGAAACATTCCTCAAAGCTAGATTCTTTAAGTGACTTGGCAAAGAAATATTAATTTTGAACAGTTTCATGTTCTAAGCAGAAGACCTGGAACTTACCCATATGGATTCCAAACTTGCAAAATAAGCTGTTGTCTGGAAATCCACGTGCACTAGCAACTTGTCCAATTAAATGGACTTCCGCCATTTTTATCTCACCTGCAAGAACAAGAAAGTGATTGAAAAGAAGTGAAATAATTCTTTGATCCCAAATGGGGGTAGAAAGAGATAATTTTTTCTCTGTCATGTGTATATCTATAAAAAGTTTGTCTCGAGAGCAATTTGTGAGAGATTCATGAACATCTAGATTTTCAGACAAGAAAATGAAGGCAAAAGGAAGGAGAAATTGTATCCCAGATTTCATAAGTAAAAGCTAAAAAAGAAAAAATAATAAGTAAAACAAAAATAAGTAAAATACCTACCTGAATTATGAGAAATAAAATTGAAAAATGCAGTCCAAAATGCAACTTATTACAATTAGTTTCAATAAAGTTCAGTTTTGTCTCATATTTGAAGAAATGACAAAAAGTTGGGTACTTAGATGTGACATGACATTAAATCTGTTTTTATTTATTAAAAAAAGTAATTATAAAATAAATTATATCACATTTCAAATAGTATTTCGTTCCGAATATAGTCCTGGGTTTGATGATAAACTACATCTGGCAGCAATGATTGGGAGATTGGAGGTTTTGAGGAGCGTGGAACCATCTCTTAATTGCTATTGTTCTTAAGTCCATCTTTACCCAGGGTGGTGGCACCTGTTAGGGTCCCAGCTATGGGCAAATAGTGAACCCTCAGAGTATACTAAACAATCATTAAAGTAAAGTAGAAAGATAGGTGGACTGAGATGCAAAAACTTGGGGGACATCTGTGTTGATCACTCGGGCCTTAATAGACTGGCTTTTAACTACCTTCGAGGACATTGTTGGATTACTGCCCCCTAATGATAATCATAGGTAGCACAAGATTTGAAAGCCTCTTCCTCTTTCCTTTTCGACTTTGGCATTGACAAGATGTCCCCTTCTCGTTCTGTTGGCATGTAAATAACTCAGAGATACATACTGAAGGCTGCTTTGAACTGTTTATGACTTCATTTTTCATTTTCCTTAACATGTCCGTTTAATGTATTTATAAATACTTGTTTAAATTCCATGATGGTCTTATTTTTGCCTGGACTCTCAGGAGACTGCCAATAATGTTTGTAGGACAAATGTTTTAGGAGCCATTATTAAATTTACTAAAAAAACGCCCACACTTCACAACAAAACTAGTGATTCATGCTATTTAAGCCATAGCTGGGTGAGGAAATGGATTAATATTTTCACAAGTGAATCTGTGTGGAAGTGAATATAATTAATAAACCCGACTGGAATTCGAACTCAGCAGTCTGATTATTTTTTTTTTAATTCTTAGTTGCTATCCATACAGTTACACCAACTGCATATTCACCCATATCCAACATTTAATCATAATGCAATTCTTTGATAATTTTTTGGCAATGAATATTTTCAATGTTTTTTTTTTTTTTTTCAGAAGTTGTTCCACTGAGAATTAGAAGGTTGTTTAACTTTTTTATGTAATAAATTAAAAATACCAAATGAAAAAGTAATATTTTATTGAAAGTGATCTAAAATTAAAAATAAATATATTTTTAAAATATTCATTCCTTAAGACGTTATTTTAAAATTTATTTTTGGCAAAAGAAACTTTATGGAATGAACAGTTGGTTGGCAGCATCGTATTTTTAAAAGTGTGTTCAAGTAAAAAAAAAAAGAAGTTTTTTTTCAACAAACTATTCTTTGCGAGAAACTTACCTGAAACGGAAAAATGATACGAGGTTGTTCAATATTAGCATCACACTGTTTCAAAAAAGAAAAAAAAAAAGAATCAGAAATTATGTGAATAAACTTTTTAAATATAACCACACTTGTCACAATTGCTTTTTGTTAGTTGTTCTTAACGTTGAGTTCAGTTTCCTTAGCAACAGCCACAGTTTCGTAAGTTTTGTTGCAACATTAAACGTGCTCATTTAATGAATTAGGACATTTATTTCTCTAAAATTAAATATTAAATGCCCATACTAATTAAAATCGTTGTTATTTACTAAATAAATAACATTTAAAAAATATAGTTCGAAGGTATACATTTACATTTTCTTCAGATCTTATGGCGGTAATGGGGGATTTGGATTATTAACAAACCTTGAACATTGTCCATTACCTGAAAATGTTTTCTAACTTACAGGTAACATTTTTTTTTATTAGATCTTATTTTATTTTGAGGAAATATTTTCTTTTTCCTTGTGTTTTACTTTTCACTGTCCTTCTCGTTCTTTGCAATAAAGATTGGCTGAGAAATGGAAACAAATTTCCGCGCCTTAGTGACTGCTTCTTCTTAAACACAATTATCCAGAAAAAACAAACAAACTATTTTTCCTTAGAATCTATTGTTTAAACTTTTAATTTATTTAACCCTTGAAAATCAGCGTATTCACATCCTAGTTTTTGTTTACGGCTATATTTTGGCCAGTATATTTTCCGATTGTTTTGGTTATCAAAAAAGAAAGAAAACACGTATCTCTGACAATTTCTGGGACGTGGTTGTTTATTAAAGAAAGCGGTTATCGTAAAAATGGTAGGAAGATAATGACGCAAAGTAGAAAAGCTATATAAACGACGACTCGTTTCGTCGGACAACGTCTTCTGCTTTCTGCTTCTTCAGGTTTATTGAAATACAAAAAAGCTAAGGAAATGTTTTAGGATATCTGACGATAAGAGGCTGCCATAAATAATTAAATTATTGCTTTGTTAATCACATCCTACAACCAGAAAGTGTCTGTGTTTGTTTTTAATGTATGGAGCCTTTGAAGTGTCTGTTGGATTTTAAATCAACCCATCGAAAACAAAGTTGTTTTTTTTTAGCTTTTTTACGCATGCACACACTTCACTAGAGTTTTTTTTTTTTTTACTTGTATACATATTGCATCTACACGTACATGCAAATATTAGTAAATTAGTTAATTAGTACAGACTTTTTGTGTAGGTTTTTGTCGGGCGCGCCGATTCTCATTGTTATAGTGCGCATGTTGGAGTAATGTATAGCGGTTCGGATTGAGGAATCGGAGAGCCGAGTTCGAATTCCAGTCGAATCCATTACATTCACTTACGTGCTAATACCCTTTTGAAAGAATCCTCTTCTAGGCTATGGGTGAATCACTGAATAGCAGGATAGACTGGGTTCTATAGTTTTGGATGGCAACCTACTGCGGGAAAAATATGTTTCGTCAGTCATGTATCGAAAGATCGCCTAAGCGTGCATCACGAATGGCCCATAGGGCCTTAACTGAGCCAGTTGGTTGTTAAATCAGCTACTTCAAGTAGATCTTTGTTGAATGGTAGTTCATGTAGGTAGCTAGAGCCGATGATCTCTTTACTGGAGCAGAGGTTTGTTAAATAATAACTAGCAATAGAGCCCGGCATTGCCCGGGGATGTAACAGTAAGAGATAGATTAAGTATCGACCATCATAAAGACTGAAAAATAAAATTGACAAATATTATTATTTAAGGTTGACGGACACGCATGTCTTAATTAGTTTTATTTATTTATTTATTTTTTTTTTTACGAATTGGTCAAACCCAAACTCAAACATTGTTTTCAATCGTTATATGAGTCTACTGATTGAATAGAATTTTATTATAAACAATTGTCTTGTAAATGGAATTATAAAGCATTCTGAATGTAAAAATAAAGAAAAAAGTGTGCAAGACAATAAGAAACACTACCTGCCAAAAAAAGTGAAATTTTGTTGAAATCGGTTGAAAAATGTAGGAAATCTGATCTCATATATAAATGAACACACACACACACAAACAACCAACCTCGGTTTTATAATAAGTATAACTCGATATTAATAAGTATAATTCAATATGAGTTGTCCCCCTTTCATTAATGCCTCTTAATCGTGTTTTCAAATTGATTTCGAGCAAAAACAATTGTGTTTTTCCAATTTTTGGCGCTGTCAGAACCACTGCAAGGTAATTTTACGTAGCCCTGTGAGGTTTTGTTGAAATAGGTTGCAAAATGTAGGAAATCCGATCCAATATATAAACGTACACACACACACACACACACACACACACAATCTGCATTTTATAATAAGTAAGATATATTCATTTTTTTTTTTTATGGGCTCTTTATAGTTTTTCACCCCAATGTGAATTGGCTTTTTAATGGGAACTCAAAAGAAAACAAATTGATTATTGATCTTTTGAAAATGATTTCAGCTCTTTATAAGAATTTGATGAACATGCTATTTAAGGTTTGCATGTCAGAGTATTGTAGGCGTGTGCGTGTTCGCATAAGCAATTAAGCAACAAAAACTTGGGTTTCTATTCAGTCAGTTATGTGCTATGTGTGATACATGATCACCTAAGCTGAAGCATGTATCTTTTGATACATGGCTGACGAGGCAGATTTTTTCCCCGCAGTAGGTTGCCATTTCTTTCTGTGGTAGACTAGTTGCCATCCAAGGCTATAGAACCTGGTCTGTCCTGCTATTTACCCATAGTTGGGGGTGGAGAAGAAGAGGATTCATACCTTTCCCAGAGGTAGCACGTAAGTGAATGTAATTTGATTTGACTGGTATTCAAACTCGGCTCTCCAATTCGTCAGTCTGAGCTGCTATCCATTATTCCACTGTGCCTCATTTTTTTTTTATTATAGAAACTGTAGGGAAATAAAATTCTCAATGTCTCTTCGGTATGTTCATTTTATTTTTCTGGTCCAGAAGTAAGTTAGGGTAAGTAAAGATGCGAATAGTTATAATGGTCGAGCTCAAGTCAGCTTTGCGATGAGTTGAAACAACCAAAGTAAAGATTTTACTTACTTCATCAGTAGAGCTTTTTCAAAACACACCAAACATTATGTGTTGAAAGTGGAAGGGAGTTTAGTTGTCAGTCAACCAAGGAAAAGAGATGTTCCTCAGTGGGGATGTCTTCATCCACATTGTGCTAGATCTTGGAAGAAGAAAAAGAGAGAGGAAGGAAATGTTTGTCTTTTTATAGAACTTAAACAGCATCACCTAATGGGCATTAGGTGAAGCCAAGAGAGGTAATAAAATTGTGCAGATGACCTAAACCCTTTCTAGTTCCTTTATTGCTAGCATCATGGGAAAATGTCTTTTTTCTTTTATTATTATTTTATTTATTGACGTTGTTTCATTTTCCTACAACTCAAACAAAGGCTAAATTTTATCAAGAATAATTTGTTAATTAAAACACTAATTAGATAAATATGTTAATGCTATATGTACAATTTTAATTGGACAGAAAATATTGGTGACAGAATTCAGAGTTGAAAGGCTGTGTTAATTGAATTTTACTTATTAATTCAGTGACTTTTATGTTCGGATAGAATGTTTAGCATTTGCTACAAATTTTCTATTGTTATTTAGTATGGCACAAGGCTATAAGTATGGAGCACCTAATGATTATTGAACTCACTAATTGTTATACCGGAACATACCTATTCTATTGTTAATACATTATCCCACAGATAATAAGTAGTAGTAGTAGCAGTCGCCAGGGCTCAGAGTGAGTTGGTGAGTCAGTCGATGTCGGACCTTAAAGTATCAACCACCACAACTAGATTACTGCGTCATTAACTATTATTTCAAGTTTCTAATGTTTTGTACGTTGAACCAATTTTAAGACCGACTTAGTGAAATACAAGCCTCCACTGTGAAAACTACTCTACAACACTAATGAATAGTAATGGACAACCAGATTAACTTGTTAACTACTGCTGTATGACTAAGCAACCAACAAGTTTTCTCCTGTTTTTTGTTTTTTTTAAATGCCATGTTCTTTTATGATGATGTCGATCATCACTTTCCACAGATCCCTTTTCTTTACTATCTGTGAATTGCTACATATTTTGTGGAAATATAGTGTAGTGACTTTTTATGTTTGGCTAGAAAGCTTAATATTTGTTGTAAATTTTCTCTATTGTTGTTTACTTAGTTTGACACAAGACCACAACTATGGAACACCTTGTAATTATCAAATTCATAACATGGTACTAATGGTCAAACAGACTAGCTTGCCCAGAAGCCCTACAGTTTTTTTTTGTTTTTTTTTTTTTCCATTGATTTGAAAATGTAAAACTGAAAATTCAAATTTTCATTGTCCTGTAATCCACATTTTGCACAAAAATGACTCAGCTGAAATTGTCATTATATATACCTGTCTCTCAGTTTAATCATTTCATGCCATATCAACACCTCTATGGGTTATTTAATGTTGAAATCTACATATTTTGAACACAATTTTATGCCATCTACTAAATATATTTTGAATGCAATTGTATGCTTTCAATTACAGATAAAATGTATTGTTGGTCATTTTTCTTTAAATATGTATTGTTGGTAATTTTATTATAAATATGTATTGTTGGTTGGTTGGTTTTCTTTAGTGGCATATTAACCTCAATGGGTTTATTTAATGCCAAAATCTAAATATTTTGAACATAATTTTATGCTTTCAGGGTAAGAGTATGTTTTTTTTTTTAGATATATATCTTGTAGATCATAAACTTTATTGCTGGTAATTTTACTATAAAAATGTATTGTTGCTAATTTTATTATAAAAATGTACTGTTGATTTTTGTTTGGGAGTTCACTATTTGCCCATAGTTGGGACCCTAACATTTGTTACCACCTTGGGTAAGGGTAGACCTAGGAACAACAACAGTTAAGAGGTGGTTCCTCACTCCTCAAAACCTTCATCTCCATTTTGCTGCCAGATGTAGTTTAGAATGAATATTGCATAACAGTTCAGTACTCTGTTTTTTTTTTTCCCTGTTTCTTAATACTTTGCTTAGCTTTTGGAAGGCATCTTTTGCCTTTCTGGTGCACCTTCATATCTTGCTATTACATTTTTCATCTGTTAAAACATTTCCTTGATATTTAAGTTTTCATACTTGCTTGATTTTGGCATCATCAATTCATAGTTTGCATCTTGGGCTGTTCCTCTTGCTGACAACCATACATTCTATCTTCTTACATTTGATAGTCCTTTCTTCTTGCTTTCCTTCATTACCTTCAAGGAGTTTCTGTGGTTTCCTTTCTTTGCTATCTACACTGTGTAATCTGCATATCTAATGTTAAGATTGCAGCAGCCAATGAAGAATCCTGGTAGGACACCTGATTCTCTCAAGATTGCTTTACTCTCAAGGTTGAATAAGTCTGGTGAGAAAACACATCCTTGTCTTATGCCCTTTTCTGTTTTTGTGTATTTACTGAATGCATTTTCTATCTTCATGCAGGTTTCTTTGCTTCCAATATAAGTTCTAGATTATTCGAATATCCTTCCCAAATAAATCAAGCTTACCGAGCAATTCAAATAGTTCTTTGTGACGTACCTTGTCAAATGCTTTTAAATAATCCATAAAACATAATAAAGTGATAAAAAGTTGCTGCTTTTGTACAACTCAATGTTTCTTCACATACAATAATAGATTTTACAAAGCAGTGTTTTAGCCTCTCACTTTTTTTAATTCTTAGAATCTGGCCTATTTCAAAATTTCAAAGTGTGTGTATGTCTGTCCTTTGACAGGTTTTCTTTTTGATCCTGCTGGATGTCTAGCTACCCTTCACAGCAGAAAAGCCTTTTGCATCTCAAATTTATAATTCACATATTGGGCTTTTTCTTTTGCTGACAACCATACATTATTATAATTAATGTTTAACCTTTTCTTCTTGCTTTCTTTTACTACCTTCTGTAGGAGTTCCTGTAATTTCCTTTCTTTGTCTGATATCTACACTGTGTAATCTGTATATCTAACGTTAAGATTGCAGCAGCCAATGAAGAATCCTGGTCAGATTTCTGATTCTCTCAGGATTGCTTTACTGTCAAGGTTGAATAAGTCTGGTGAGAAAACACATCCTTGTCTTATGCCCCTTTTTATTTTTTTTTTCTGTATTTACTAAATTCATTTTCTATCCATATGGAAACTGTTTTCCCCCAGTTCTGGCTTATTCTAATATCTTTCTCAAAGAGAAATATTCTAATATCTTTCTCAAAGAAAAATACTCATTTCTTATGCACTATTTACATTGTTGTCCTCATCTTAATTGTCACATTCACAACAAATAGTTACAATACCTCATCTCTGAAATATAGACATGTCATTTCTTTTAGCTTAACAGATTCTTTAATAATAATGGTTATGTTTTGGCAATGTAATCACATAAATGTAAAGGATTCAAATTCCAGTCGAATCCATTACATTCACTCATGTGGTGAAAGGCATGAGTCCTCTTCTTCTCCCTCCAGTTATGGGTAAATAGCAGGGTAGACAGGGTTCTATAGTCTTGGATGGCCACTTGTCTACTGCAGAAAGAAATGGCAACCTACGGTGGGGAAAAAATCTGCCTCATCAGTCATGTATCAAAAGATACATGATTGCCTAAGCATGTATCACACATGGCACCTAACTGACTAAATGACATAGAAAATGTCATATATGAGAGATGAGATGATAGTTTTTAAACTAACGAAAAAAAAATAGATATTTGTCATTATGCTTTTTTATTGTAGATTCTCAGTCAGTAGCTTTGTCATAAATAGTACTTGGGAGTTTAAGTCTTTCGTCTACCACAAGATTACAAATGTTGGTATTTAGTGATGGTTGAAATCAGCACCACTGGTCTTTGAGACAAGAGTGGTATTGCTCCAAAAGAAGAATTTTAATCAGCTTACCTTGTCTGTCACAAGGCTACAAAGTTAAGGGAATCTAGTTCAGATCAAACACACTTAAGGTCTCAGTGAGACTAGCTAGCTATTGTTTCATAGTGAGATAAGTTGTTTTACTTTACTCGGTTTCTCTTGATTGATTGCTCTGTCAACAGAGCCTAGAATTCACTGACTGCAAGGAAGGGTAAACCTGCCCAAAAGGGGACACCTACTCAGTGGATGCTTGTAGACTTAATTATAAACTTGACCAATATTTGCCTGTATGCTCAAGTATAAACCTGATCAATGTGTACCTACAAACTCAAGTCACAAGTACAAGCATTGCTTATCTATAGACTCAAATATGAGCATGACCATTGCTTGCCTATAGTCTCGAATATGAGCACGACCATTGATAGCCTATAGACTTGAGTATGAGCACAGCCATTGACAGCCTACAGACTCGAGTATATTTCTAAAGAATTAATGAATTTATTTTTAATTCAACATTTTTATTATTCCAAATGTTGTATGAGGGAATGTGCATTCCTTAAAAGGGCAAAAATGACCTTGCTGGGCTGTCATGTTCTCCATGGTTGAGTGATTTAAAGAGTTGCCTGGTTAAACAGTGCCTTTTTCCTACAAAGGAGGATGTAGGTTCAAACCCTGCCAGAGATCACATTTTCTTTATTAAGTTTTCTTCAGTGCACAGGCCATTAGATGTAATAAACACTGTTAAAACAAAAACAAAAACAAAAAAAAGTGGTGTCTAAAATATCGGTATCCACTAAAAATAATTTTTAAAGTAATAAAAAAAAAAACACAATGATAATTAAAAAATTAAAAATAATTAAAAAATAATTAAAAAATCTAATTTCAACATTGAATAACCTTTTTTAAAATTTTGACATTCCAAGATCTTATTGTTCAACTTTCTTTGAACAGACGATTCTTTTTAATGTTGAAATCAACTTCAATAACTGCAAATAAATGTATTTGTAAAATATCTCTACTTTCACAAACTCTTCGTGAAACAAAATGTAAACAGTAAACACAACGTTGACCCAATGGGTCACAGGTGGTCTAGTAAATTTTTAAAATTCCTCTCTCAAAAAAAACAAAAAAAACAAAAAAAACACATAAATTGAATTTAATTAAATATTCTAACTATAAAAGTGAAATTTTGAGAAACTGATGAAAAGGTTTATTTCGAATCCTGTTGGAAGTTTGCTACTTGTAAAATCTGTCATACTCTTTAAGGCTAAAAATATCCCCACCCACAAAAAACGAATAGAAAAAGATATCAGTATTTGGTTTTAATCTCATTTCTTAGATAATCATCATCTGATTTTTTTCTATGTGCTGTGTCCTTTTAAGACTTAGGAAATCATTATTCTCCCAATTTTCTCTCCTTTGTAAGGGCAGGCTTTTTGCTAGCTCTCTTAATCCCTGTTCTGTCAACCATTTACACAAGCTCTCTATGTCGGTTATGCACTGCTTTCCTCTGTCGCTCTTGCTTTCAATATATCTTGTGAGTGTCAGGTTTTCTAAGCCCTCTTTTCTCATTATGTACCCTAGAAATTTCAACTGTTTGTTTCTGATGTTAAGTATAAATGTCCTTTTTGCTTCCACCTTCTGTAAACTTCATTCTTGCTCACATGTTCAGTCTATGTTATCCTGTAGGACCACATATCTCTAACTTCAAGTCACCCTCATCTGTGAGGGGACTACCCAGCATTCACTGCCATATAGAAGAACTGATATTATGTAACTGTTCAGTACTCTTTTCTTTGTTTATAATGAAATTTTCCCGTTTCTTAAAACTTAACTTTCAGAAGGCATCTTTCACTATCCAGCATGCACCTTTGGATTTCAGTGTCGCATTTTCCGTTCTTTGTGCAGCTTGATTATGGCATTTCAAATCTGTAATTTTCATGTTGGGTTGTCAGCAAAAAGAAGAGCCCAATTTCTGATACTGATGTAAATAAACAGCAAAATAAAATCAAGCCCACTTCTTTCTTTCAGAACTTCGGCTACGGTAATCCAGTGGATATTTAAATGAATTCTTATCTTCATTGTAAGTATTTTATTAAACTCAGATTGGTCTCTTATTTGGGCAGACTGTTGCAGAAAAATACCCGAAAATTAAAAACTAGCTTGTCACACCATAACGATAAACTTTAGGGCAGGACTTTGGACTAACTTTTTTCACCATTGTCCTGGAAGCATCCTGAAAAGCAACTTTAAATCATCTGGATAAATATTTCAAATCCTCATGGAATCAAAATGTTTTTTTGTTTTTAAACTTTGTTATCATTCATAGTTGTTAATAGCATAATAAAAATACCATTAGAATGTTTAGGAAATAAATATTTATTTTGATCAATTCAAATTTTGAACTGTAGTCTCCATGCCCTGAAGCCACTACTCCACTACTTAATTACTGCTTACTCTGGGTTGTGGATGTGCAGGTGGTGTACTAGATAGCAGTTCAGATTGAGAAATTGGAGAACCAGAGTTTGAATTCCAGTCAAGGATGTTATATTCACTTATGCACAAACACTCTTGGGAAATGTATGAATGTATCCTTTCTCTCCCTCAAGTTATGGGTTAAATAGTAAGATTATATCTGGGGAAAAAATCATTATCTCCCAAAATTGTTAATGCAATATTCATTAACTAAAAAAAATTATATATATATATATATATATATATATTTATTTATTTATTTTCTTATAATTTAAAAATGTTTTAGACAACTAAATTAAATAACTGATGTAATGGAATAGCCTGTCCCCCCACCAGATGAGTGGCTGACTGTAGGTATCTGTAAGTTGGTGGACTGTGGAGTCTAGCTTGGATCTGTTGAGTACGACTCAGACTTACGCGAGAACTACCGACCTTCCAATAGTAGCACTCATTACTGGCTTGCAACGACCTTGTACATAACTGTTACCTTTATTCTTATTGTACTGATTTTTACAATAAACATTTACTTATTTTATCCACCATGTTGTTCAAGTATATATTCCTATTAGCACGGAATATGACAATAACCAACAAAGAGTTGCTGAGGGTGAAGGCCATGAATTGAGATTTGTAGGAGGCAGTTGAATATTTCAATTTAATTTATAAGGAGAAAACATTACACGTAAATTTGTTTGTTAATGCATCATTTATGTTTTCTAAACAAAAATTGGCAGGGGGAAAAATATAATACTCTTGTTTTGTTTATTAAAGCAAAATTAGTTTTTACAATTAGATCCAAATGTTTTTCATATTTAGAGATAAATAATGCAAATAGTTAAATTTAAGTTCTTCATTTTGGTTTCATTAATCAGTGCAAAAAGAAGCATTTCAGTTTTGGTAGATAGGTTTCCGAGACTAATATAGGAAGCAGAAGTTCCTGACCTTCTTTGCATCATCAGCCACTTTCGCATAGAAAAATTTTCCACCATCCACCTATATAATAAATATTCAAAGCATACCAAAATTGTTTGGTAAAAGTTTGTTACTGGTTCATAAACTCACTTTATGATGTTGTAAAAAATACCAAAGGGAGGTAACAAATAATGCTGACTTATGATGTGGTGGCTGTGGCCATATTAAAGAACGGACAAAAGAAAACTTGACCATTAATGAAAACTATAATTTAGTTTTATGGTCAATGTTAACGTTGTGAATGTTGACAAAATTAAACAATTTTTGTTCATCATTATAAAATTAAAAAGAATATACATGACTAGTAACTAATAAAAATTCAGTGAATATTTTTTCTTGGTCTTCCCTTATCTGACCAAAAAAAAAAAAAAAAAGAAGTTAACTTCATCTGAAGAAGTATTTGCATGTTTATGACCCTTCTGAAATCTATAGAGAATACCCATAATATTTGCAGGGATATTTATATCTTATCTAGAAATTTGACCCAGTTATTTCCATTTAGCTTCCTGTTTTTTAGGGGTTTTTTTTGCAGGTTCTTTGCAAATTTTTGAATATTCTTTTCAGGTAACATGTCAAAATACCTTTTTAATACTCAAAATCCTACATCACTCACCAAAATTTCCAATTGCCCACCATTTTCTGTTCGGTTGCTTATCACCAATGGCTGATTGTTGGGTGCCCACCCAACAGCTAAAAAAAAAAACTAAAAAAAAAACAGTTGCATTCACATAAAATGAGTGAATTACAAGAAAGGGATATCCGTCAAAAACAAAAAGACAAATAGTCGATTTGCCTGGCATCATTTGACAATGAATGCGTATGCCCATTAGGTTCCAAAAATACTGGCAAACTGACATTGTAGAGATTATTTGTCCACTCAAGATCTGACATATATATATATATATATATATATATGTATATATCAACATCATCAGAACGAGTCAGTTCATCACTATTAATATCAGAAAGGTTGATATCCGATTCATCTTGCAATTCTTCTAGTATTTTCATATTTCCTTGGATTCTAGAATAACCTGGACAAATGGGTACTCTGAATCACTAGACTCCATTTCATTATGATATTTGATTTCTCGTTGTCACAAAAAGATGAAAAATAGATTGTAAAACTTGTATTTTCTTTGTTAATCAAACAAAGAAGAGGTGGCGGGAGTAGCACATGGTCAAAGTTTCACTGTTTTAAGTTTCTTGTATTATATGCCATGGGGGTCATCATATGGCAGAGTATACATGGAGTGAGTTATGACAGATTGAACATTGAGATCTGATATTTACAGGGCAGGTTTGAGCATCTTGAATGCTAAAGGGTTAAAGAACTCGCATAGGGTTGTTAAGCCGTAAAAAAAAATAAAAAATTAATAAGCAAAAAAATCCATCCCAAGATTAAGAATCATCATGAATCTAAAAAACAAAAGTTCCACTCAGCTCCTCCCCACCAAGAACTGTCACTTTGTTTAATGGCCTGAATACAACAATCTTAACCACTTCAAATAGCAATCATTATCTATTTTCATTATACATGGGCAAGTGGATAAAAATATTGGTTGAAGTAATCCAAAAAGTAACTTAACCCAAAGAATTGCGAGTTCAATACCTGACCATAGCAGAAAGAACAAAAAACTTGGAGAGTTGAGTTACTAAAACTAAAGGGAATTAACTGAAGCTGAGATATCCAAAAAAGGTGTGGCATTTTTAGAACAATCTACCCCCATTAACTAAATAAATCACCTGAAGAAGGCTAGATCATAAAACAGCCGAAACATTGTGAATATGGCAATAAAAGTGGGGACAACAATAGTTACAATACCTCATGTCAGAAATATAGACAGTTTCTAAAACTTATTTTAGTAAAAGTTTAGAATTGGGGCCAGAAAACAGGCGCCATAATTTGTGAGTTAAAAATGAAATTGAGATATATCCTTTATTGGTTTTAATATATTTTCAAATATATTTTTGATATTTTTCAAAATATATATTCAGATATATATTCCCATTCGTGCGGCTGCTTGTTAGTTTCTTTTTCCCTGTGAAAATGCTTTTAAATGAAGCCAGCTATTTATTGTTTGAATATGAACTAGAATAATATAGAATATATATCATGTAAATTGTAATATAAATCAAAAAAACAAAATTATTTTTATGAACTTATAACTCTGTGATTGTATCCCAGATCATTTAGCCCATTATAAGCAGACCAACCGTCACTAATAATTGTAGAACCTTGTACAATACGTCTTTGCTTCTCAATCTATCAGGAACAAATTCTACACAGTAATTAAATTCTTCAGAATTTGTTTAAATTCCTCCAAGGAGCCAATGTTGATGAAGCAATTGGTCACAGTTATATTTTCTTTTCAATGTTTCATCAATCTTCACTATTTTGTCTGGACCTTCAATTTTATCACCACTGATTTTTTTGGGGGGGTGGCTGCAGTGAACTAGCAGCACATATCCCTACAAAATCTGAACCAGTCAACTATTTGCTTCAATCAACTGTAGTCACTTAAAAATAAAATCAACCACTCAGGGTAGCTTTAAGTTTCAAACGCTCCCAGTGATTCTCAACTTCCGTGCCACGGCACACACGATCCTCTTAATTGTTCCAGGAAAGTGCGATGTGTAAATTGTCGCCATGTGATTTCGAGCATGTGCTATTTTTTTTGATTTTGTCAACTGCACAGTAGGGTCAATTGAGCACCATCCGTGAGAAAAAGAGCATCATGACACAATTCACTCCGCCAGAAATTTGGAAATGGCATGCTGTACTGCTTGGCATTCGCACCAGATGCTCCAATACAAACATTTCAGAGGACAGTGTAGAGGATTTGGAAAGAGTTGGAGGAGTCTAATGGTGATTATGAAGGTATGGCAACTTGGAAAACTCATTTTAAGAAAAAAAAATGATTATTTTGTGAGGGCCTCAGACTCAAGATGGAAAACTACAGAGGTAGTGCTACCCTATGTCAAGAGGGTGGCTGCTAGAAGACCCTATTTCTGGCAACAGAACTCTGCACCATGCCACACAAGCAAGAGAACCCAGTCATGGATGTCAGACAATTTCTGCGACCACATCACCCTTTACATCTGGCCACCTAACTCCCAGAGTGCAACTCCCTTGATTATTATGCATGGGCCATAGTTAAGCGAAAGACCAATAAATTTCCTTGTAACACCAAAGATGAACTGAAGGCAAGGATTATGGCAGCATTTACCAACTTAAACAAGGAGACCGTCCAGAAAAGTTGCAGGAGATTCTGAAATCGTCTTGGAGGCCGTGGTTGAAACCAGTGGTGATTTTAGTGAATAAATTTACTCATTAGTATTTGAAGATGGTTTTGTATAATTTTGGTAGATATATCTGTTAATGAGATGTCAATGTTATTTTCATTTTTGCGCAATTTAGACGACAATTTATCCATCGTACTCTGTATGTACATGTGTGGAAGTAGTAAATGGTACAGCGTTATTATTTAAATAAAAAAATAGTCGAATAGAAACAGTGAAATAAAGTAAGTTCATATTTGTGCGTGCATTTAAAAAAAAAATCTATGGTTTTATTAATCCATAACATTTATATCCCCTTTAAA